TAAGCTTTTGCTGCTGTTGTTTTTTTCCTACCCCACAGTAACACTGAGTCTCTTACAAGAATTCTTGCCTGTCCTCAAAATGGTGTCCTTCAAACGTCTTTTTCTATTTCATCTTCTTCTCCCTGTTAGTAATGGTTAATCTCAGCCATGCACAGAGCTCTAGCATCTATGTATGTTTAACTGCAAAATCTATATCTGCACTACAGGTAGATTTCTGTAGCTTCAGTTTCTTTGATTATTTAATTCATCACCTGTAGGGTGACCCTGGAGAGAGAATGAGAGTGCCCCACTTCCAAGCAGCAAGAACCAACCAGGGCTATTTGGGGTAGACAGAGATGTAGATCGTTCTACTTACATCCAAGTACCTTTTGATATTTCTATTTTAATGTCTCAGTCACCCCAAAGTCATATCATTTGCTGAATTTATCCTCTTGACATAAGCCAGCTTTTTTTCCATTCACAGGGATTTATACTGCGATTCACTGTCTCCCAAGCCAGAGAGCAGGAATCATTCTTAATTCCTTCTTCTCTCTTCACATTATCTCAGTTGCTGAGCCATTTATATTCCATTTTTAAAATACCTTCTGAATATTTCTATTCTTCTCCAGCCCTAAACCTCTAGTGTAACCAATTCCCATTTTTTTCTCTCACATTATAGCCGACCCATAAAACTCTTTGCTCCTAATCTTGTATGCCAAGGCAGTCTGCATACTGCAGCAAGAGGCAACTACTTAACACGAAAACCTGGTTATATCGTCCCCTCCACTCACTGCTCATTGACCTTGAGATGAGGTTTTAGAAGTCTTTTTATTATCTCTGCCGATCTCTCTAGGGCTCTCTCTGTAACCCTACGTTCAGCATTTGAAGTAGACTGAATTCCTTACCCAAAATTCACTTGTACTTTTATTTTCCTCTTTTCCTTCACAACTGCTATTCATTCTCTAGGAACTCTTCAGAGCATGCCCTTCCTCTTTGTTTTCCTAATCTCTAGCAATCAGTTATAGCCAATATAGATGTCAGCTCATCCATAAATCCTTCCTTGACCTCCCAGGTGATTTGTGTTACCCTCCTCTGGGCTCTATATTTTGCGTTGTCTCATTAGCTCTCTGCACTGCAAGGGTGGGGAGAGCAGGACCTCTCTTGCTTTGTTTGTCCCAGTATCTGGCATATCCTGTTTTTTTTGGGGGGGGGTGGGGGGGACACAACAATGATTTGTTGATTCCTTTGGTGCTTGCACTCTCATTCTCAATTTTGATTTTATTTTTGACTGAGGATTCATTTTATCTTTGTTTATATATTTCTGAAAGATACCTAGTTTGGGTGGGGGCTTTCATTCCCTCTGCTAAATAATATTTCCCAGATATTTTTTGATGTTCTTGCCCATATCTCCATTTTTCCACATGGCTTCTGCTTTTTCAGAGAAGCCATCCCTAGACACTGCCATCATTTCCCATTCACATCTGTTTTCCTTATGTTATTCTGTTCGAACTAATTCTCACGTCTGACTTTTTATTCAATTATCAGTCCCATGACGGCAAAGACTTTGTTTGCCCAGCACCTGAAATTAGGGTTTGCACACAATAGGTGCTCAGTAAATGACTGATGAATTAATTAATAGTAAATTTTACCAATAGATACCCTAATACTGGCTTTTCTTTTATTCCTAGAGTAAATCCCACATGATTATGGATTTTAATGTGCAGTCATCCTCATTAATTCTAATAATATATTATCACTGAATTTAATCTATTTTTAAAATTTGATGACTCCTCTGTCAAATTTTAGAATCTTGTAATTGTTTTATGAAAAATATACGTAGATAGATTTTTTTTTCTGAGAAATGTTTGATTCTCTGGAGAGTGCCTTGGGGTGCTCACCCTGTGCTTGTTGGGCATGTAGACTAATCTGCTTGCAGAAAAATTCCCTTTCCTTTCTGGCTGTCTATCAGATCATGCCTCCTCTCCTTGCTCTAGAACATTATGTATCCTTTAGAATGAGTCTAAATTTTGACAAAACACAGGAATAGACAGTGATTAAGAAGTTACCACTCTCTGCCACTGAAAAATATTTTTGAATCAAGGAATTATAAGCAGAAAAATAAATAAATATAGGATGAAGCAACGTACACTGTTTTCTCAATAAATTAACCTGCTTCAGTTACTTTAAACGTGAAGCCCTGTACCTATGTCTGGCTTTGAGCTTTCCACTGGGTCCCACCTCAGTGTTTGCCAGCTTGCCGTATTCCTTACCTCTGCTGAAGGGGGTTGTTCTATCCCTTCACTTCTCTGAAAAGCATTTAATCATCTTTTAACACAATTTCTAAACATTGTACAAAACATAGCATTAGGAGTACCTCCTAATGAAACTTTTCACTGAAAAACAAAACAAAAAAACAGTTCTCGTTGCTCATTCCCCTTCTTTCATAGCTTGGTGCCCCTAATTTTAAACTACCGCTTTAGAAATATATATTTTAAATTATTTAATACAGTTGTATATTCCCTGTATCAAGTACTTTAAGAAAACAGGAATGTTTTGTATATTTTGTTTTTCCTCCGCATGTAGTAATGTCCACTTAATACAATGTCTTTGCCTTATTTTTTTTATGAGTTTGAAAATTAATCATTCAACACCTTATACTTTTTTTTTTATCCTCACCCAAGGACATTTTTACATTTTTTATTCAGATAGAGTGGGAGGGAGAGAGAGAAACATCGATGTGAAAGGGACATATCGAGTGTCTGCCACCCACATGACCAACCAGGGCCAGGGACAAACTGCAACCGAGGTACGCGCCCTTAGCGGGAACCAAACCCGGGTCTCTCTGGACCGCAGGCCGACGCTCTAACCACTGAGCCAAACCGGCCAGGGCAACACCTTATACTTTGTAGTTTTATATATAGTTTCAGTATTGATGGAGGCTATACTTTTTTTTTTTTTTTTAGAGAGAGAGAAACATCAACATGAAAGGGACACATCAAATGGCTGCCACCCGCACAACCCAACCAGGGCTGGGGACAAACTGCAAACAAGGTATGTGCCCTTAGCAGGAACCAAACCCAGGTCTCTGTAGACTGCAGGCCAATGCTCTAACCGCTGAGCCAAACCAGCCAGGGTGAGGCTATACATCTTTTAATTACATGTTACGAGGAGGTTTGTGCATACGTACTCTGTCATGACACACACTCGTCTCATGTCCTGGGTGCGTTCTCCTGGAACATTCCTTCATATCATTCCTGGTGGCCCCTCACCACTGAGACATGAGGGTGATCGCTCATGTTTGCTCAATTTTCCAATTGACTGCTATAAAACTGTTTACCACCTAATTTTGTTTACATCAGTAGGACTTTTTCTGAGCCTCGTTGTAACTTCTTCCCTCCTGCATATAGAAGGTGCCGCTAAAAGGTTCTCCGTGGCTGACAGTGCTGGACCTCTCTCCAAGAACAGGACTTTTGGATAAGCTGTTCCATAAACTCAACCTACTGCGTGCCCTGTGAACCCCTGCTGATCAGGACCTGCTGGAGCTGTTATCCCTCCATTCGATCCAAGAGTCCTCATAGTCATCAGGTTTCTAAGGATCTGTGGTTTGGCATGTGATGTTTCCAAATTAATTCAAGATAAAATTGACAGAATGTGTTTCAGTTTGATTTATTATTGTCTCAGATTTCTTTTATGCCTTGAGTCTGAGCGCTTATCCTCAACTTTGATAACTTACAAATGGAAATGTTACTGCCAGATGACTTGAGCTCATTAATCTATGACTATAAAGTATTGATTTATGTACACAGTTTTTCATGTGTGACAGATACATTATAGATCACTCTCATTTAGATGTTTAATCTATTATTATTTTTCATTGAATAATAAATGATGTATAATTACACATATTAGATTATCTCCAATTGTTTAATTTATTTCTTCTGAGCAAGTGAGAAAACGTATAAAATGAAACTCATTATTCAGAATTAATAGTGCATAGCTATGAAACTCATTATTTCCAATCTGTCCTTCTTTCTTCTCTTAATGGATACCATTTTAACTGAACAGCCTAAACATCTGTTAACATCTTGGAGCTTTATATAGATTTCAATTCTTATACATTGTTTCATGACATTCATATCTTATATTGTTTATTAATTATTGTATTTTCTGTACAAACCATGTACCTACTTTGATCACACCCTGCATATACATGAGGCCATGTCTGGCTTATTTTATTAAGTAAAATGTCGTTCAGGTTCATCCATTTGGTTGCAAATGGCAAGATTTCTTTTTCTTAAGGCTGAATTATATCTCATTTTGTCTGTATATAAAAGTATGCTTTCTATAGCCATTCATCCATTGCCAGACACTTGGCTATTATAAATAATGCGGCAGTATCTCCAAGATACTGATTTCATTTCCTTTTGATAAAAACCCAGAAGGGGGATTGCTGGATCACAAGGCAGTTTTCTTTGTATCATTTTGAAGAACCTCCATGCCATTTTCCATAATGGATATACCAATTTACATTTCTATCAAAAGTATGCAAGGGTTCCCTTTACTTCACATCCTCACAAATATTTACCTTCTGTGTTTTTGATAATAGCTTTTCTTAAAGGTGTCAGGTGATGATATCACTGGGGTTTTGCATTTCCCTCGTGGTTTGTGACGTGGAATACCTTTTCACATACTTGTTGGCCATTTGTATGTCTTCTTTGGAAAAATGTTTATTTCAGTGTTTATTTTTTAATAGGGTTGTTTGGCTTTTGCTATTGAGATGTAGGAGTTCCTTATATATTTTGGAGATTAACCCTTTTATCACATAGCTGGTTTGCAAATATTTTCTCGTATTCAGTAGGCTGCCTTCCCACTTGATAGACTGTTTCCTTTGCTTTGAAAAAGCTCTCTAATGTGATGCACTCTCACTTGTCTATTTTTATTTTTATTTTTATTTTTTTGCCTAGCTTTTGGTGTCACATCCAAAGAACTGTTGCCCAGATTAATGTCAAGAAGTTTCTCACCTATGTTTTCTACTAGGAGTTTGACAATTCTTTTCATGTGTCTATCCAGTTTTCCCAACCTATGAAATAAAAGGATATATCAAGATGAAAAGAACAGTATGAGCAAAGTCCCTAAGACATGTGAAATATTTACTGAGTTACATACAACTAACTTGCAATCTTTAATACACATTAAAGTTACCATCTTTGGATTTCTAGTCTGATGAAACAGTATGATCTACTCATTCAAGTTTGATCATCTTCAATGCCACTGTTTCTCTTTTAGATGATTTTCAATTCCTTTCTTAACACACAGGCATTCCTCTAGTTCTTGCTAGAGTACTTTATTCTTTGGAAATTCCTTCCATGACTTAGTCATTACCCCTCATCTTTAAACATTCTGCACTATATTTATTTTTTGCCTCTATGTTTGGTCTCAACTAGATTGCAAGACCTTGTATTGTCAGGTCCATAAATTATACATCTGTGTATTTTCTACCAGGTCCTTCAGAGAGAGACTAGAGTTAATGGAAAATCATACCCGCCTCATCCTTGTGCCCCTATTCTAGCTGAATTAGTCATCCTGCATGTTCATATTCACCAAATTGGATGTCATTTACTCAGCTTCTATCAGGAAAGTTAAACTTTGTACATAACAGAATCTATGATTTAATTAAAATGTGCTGGCCGGTGTTCCTGTGTGTGGATTTCAGCACCTTTTCCTTTATGCTAGTAATTGAGGAGACTCTTTCATCTGCTGGTAGATGTGCCAACAACATTCTGCTCCCAAGAGACTGAAATGATTCTGTCTTCAGATCTGCACATGTGTGTAAGGAGTTTATCTTTTCTTAGCTGACAGCAGTGCTTATGTATGCAGAGGCAAATGTGAACCAGGCCTAAATACCACAGGAAGGTAATTAGAAGTTAAACCTAGGCTAATACTGGACCGGGTCTGAGGTCGGCCTGCTAGAGCCAAGGTAGAGTGGATGCTGGACAGATGTGGTAAATGAATGTATATAAGCTGCTTGACTCTGCTTGACAGGTTTCATCTCAAAGTTATCTTACATTAGTCAGATGAACAGAATGAGAGGAAGAAATTAGAAATGTTCTCTATTAATTATGTCCTATTGTGCATGAGTGCTATTTCCCTAGTACACAGTGCTGTGTTAAGTATGTGAAACAAAATTACTTTCTTCTTATACTGAAGGAGTATCAAAATCAACTATTTCTGAGAGCTCCAATCAGTTTCAGAAGCATGATGTCAAAAACAAGTTGTTTTGACATTTTGTTAATATAAGGGCTTCTTTGTGGAATTAAATATCTAATTTTAAGCCAGAATTCTACATTATTCATTTATTTGGTATGTTTTATAAAAGTCATAAAATTTGTAAAAAATGGATTAAATTACAAATAAATTAATAATTTGTTTGGTACCTAGTTTACACCAGACACAGCTATAGTTACTAGAAATAAAAAGATGAATAAAACACAATCCAAGCACTCAAATTTCACAATATAAAGAATAAGATGATAATACAACATAGTAATAAATATTTTTTACTCATCAACCTTACTTGTGTATTGAATTAAAGCATAGGAAAAAAAATTAATGATTAAGTAGAACAACAAACATGAAACATTTTAATTTTCATTATTATAATCTTTTCTCCATAATTTTAACCAGAAAAAATAATGGGGCAAATATTGCTTTGAAGTTAAAGATTTGTAGAATTGAATCCATAACTGTTTAGATTTTTCTGTGTTGGCAGTGAAGTCTTAAGATTTTATGAGAAGAATTTAGTGCAGTTAACTCTTAGAATATATTACATTGTAAATAATTTTATTTTAAAACTATTTATTTGCCTATCTAGTGAAGTCATAATATTAAATAAATGTAACAAATACATTATTGTGTTATATATAATTCAGAAGTTGAATTAATAAGTATTTCAATATTATAGTGCCATTTTTAACTAGGGAAATACATTAGAAAATAATTGGGTACCATCCCAGAATACTTCATATTTAAAATAATATCTAGGGCCACTTTGATAATTAAAACTTAGTACCAGATTTCCCAGCAACAACCTGTTTCCAGATGTTTAATCATTTTTAAACATCTACTTTACTCATGATTGGAACTCTTTCTGTAATATTATATGGCCTAATTTGCCTACTCTGAAAAATAAAAGTCACATATTTGGGACATAAATTTATTTTGACTAGATTGAAATTGTTGGTTGATTATCGTGGTTACTGTATTAAATTGTGGTCTAAGGGCTCTTTCCCAAGCATTCCCATCATGGTGAGTACAAATCAGAGATGCAAAAGTAATCACAAAATATCAACACTTGAGCTCCTGCCCCCTTGAGTATTAATCCAATCATTTACTTTTTTTTACCTTATTCCATAAAAGTTCCCTTCATCCTCTGAGATGTGCCTCATTGCCTCGTTCTCTTGCCATGCTACCAGTCAGATATGGGATCACAAACACGCGTCTCCCCCTAGCTCCAGCCTTCCCAACGCAGAAATTCTCAACTGCTTTTATCATGGACCTTAGAGATTTAAAAATAAAAATCGGAAAGGACAGTCAAAACCCACATATTTTCTTATTCTAAAGGTTAAAAAAAAAAAAAAAAAAAAAAAAACTTTGAAAATAGTTTTTTATTTATTTACATTCCTCCCATTTTAAGTACATGTTAATAGTTTGGAGTTATAATCCTAGCTCCAGCTCCCGTGTAACCATGGCCCAGTCATTTAACCTCTGGGTTTTAGTTTCTTATTTGAGAAACGTGGGCTGTTAAAAGTTAGCACTTAACCAAGTTTTTATAAGTGTTCACAAGACACTTCCTGGTGAATAGGGGAAGCTGGACTCCCACAGAGGTTGGGGTACCAGAGTCACCTAGCCGGGGACTTTACAGAGAAGACCCTGAAAGTCTGCAGGAACATAGTAACCACTGAGAGAGTCCTGCATGTGCTTTAGGCCTGACATCTGTGTCCTCTGGTTCCCCTGGAAAATCAGAGGAAGCAGCCTTGGTCTCAAATGTTTCTACCTTTCCGATTTTTCTCTTCGTAGCCCCCTTGGCACCAGAGTGGCTAGCCTGCAGTAAGTTAGGAAGATTGTACTCATATTTTGGGCCTGCCGCTATCACTTTATTTCAGTTCTTAGACTTTAGCATGATGACCCATACTCCAAACTCCGTGGTAAGAGACTTCTTCCTCTGAGAATGGAGTCCTATCAGGGTATCAGATATATGGTCATATCTTTGCATAATCAATGGCAATCCCTTATGTGTTTATTATTCTTTGGGACCAGTTAAGTCCCAGTTCTATATTTTGATCGTAATAATAGTAAGGTGTACTCTGTCATTTTACTTGCTATAATCCAAACATTTGATGTTATTTCATGTAAAAGGTTTTATCGATCTAGTATCCTGTAGAAGAATTAATGTTCAATAATAAGATGTTATCATAATTTATCAGTTCAGAAGACTGTGGTCTTGAAAGGCAGATACAGATAATCCCATTTATTGCAACTTAATATTTAAATAGAAACAGAAACCTTCATTAGCAACAATAACATTTAATAAGCACCCATATGCCAGGCACTCCATCAAGCATTTTATGAGCCCTATGAAGTTTCAGATGAGGAAAATAAATGGCAGAGTTGAATCAGAAAGGCTAAATGACATGCACGAGGACATACAGAGACACTCACATCCCAGGGCATGGACTCTTGTGTTCTAGTGGAGACTCACACAGAGCCAATCACTGAGGAATGGGTTTGTCTATGAATTTACTTTGCGTATTCTCTTGTTTTTCCTAAGAATGCATCATAACATGACATACTTTCTTCGTGAGTCTGCGAGTCCAAAGAATCTCTACTTTTTCATTTGTTCACAAATTATCCACTTATTTTTTTTTTTATTCTAGAACTTGAACCAAGATCTAAATGAAGCTGATCAGTCTCCAGTTTCGCATTACCTCATTTCAATACTTCACCATTGCAAAGTACTTTCCCTTCACGAGTGCAGGAATACATCCTTTGACCAGAAAACATTTCTTGTGGCCCACTAATATCGGGTGCTGGTGTAGGCAATGGGGCTGGTTTAGGAAAAGCCATCCATGTGAAGACGTGCCTGGTAGATGAACATTTCAGAGAGAAGACAGAGCACAGTACAAAATCCCTTAGGAATAAATGGATGGCCATTCTGAGTGGCAGAATGAAGCTGTAGCCTTTAGTTTTTCAGTGTAGGGGCTGTGAAGAGATATGAAATATTTAAATAAGGGCCTTACACATGATTAGGAATGCCTGTTGATTAGAAATTTAAGGTTAAAACAAATAGAGTGCTGTAATTATCTGCTTCTTAAAAAACGAAAAACACTAAGTAGCTCTTTCCATGTTGAAAGAAGAAAGAAATCCAACATGCAGAGCAATTCACATAAAAAAAAATTCTGGCAATGCATCAAGAATGCAATAAAAATTAAACAAAAGAAAAGCACATAAAAGCTGTCCTCATTATTGTTGTGCATTAATTCTTTTGTTCAATTACATTGGTGTAAGACATTTTCAAAACCAAGCGGATTAATAATTCTAAACAGTTAAGCTCCTTTATCTTTAAACTGCAGAATCATTGTGTGTTCTGCCTCCATCTGGTCTTGCTCTTACTGCATTTTATCTTATTATGCATTCAGCCTTCAGTTATTTCAGGGCGGAGCAATTTTTTAGGGAAGAAAAGATCACTGTTGCCAACATAAGAAAGGGACTCACACACTGAAGTTCAGATGAGCCTTTGATGTTCACTGTCTTTTTATAAATGTAGGTTTGCAAGGGTGTCTCACCTGCTACTCATATGGTTTGGTTTTTTTAGCCTCCTCTCAATATGGTCCAGGTTAACCAGCAGAAAGTTTTCCATTTTTAACTTTCAACTTAAGGACTTCCACATTTATAAAGCTGTATTTGAATCATCTCTGTCCATCCCTGGCAGAGCATTCGAATTCCTTCACAGCCACGTTACCTCAAACACTGAATTTTGTTTTTCTTACTCTGTGGTGTATATATGTTGCTTATGTTTTTTTTTT